TTTAATTAAATTTAAAATCACCTTTTATATTAAATTTTCAATTATACTTAGAAAAACATTGGAATAATTTAATTTTAAATTATTTTAAATAATTTATATAAGAATTTATAAAGTCTTAAATCTCGAATTGTAACGTCAAATTACTATATATTATTCATATTACTATTACCATTAACTGCATAATTATTGGCTGCTTTCTTGTTTTTACTTTCCCTCCCTGCAATTATATATAATAGAGAGAAAGTATAACAACCGGACAAAAAATGGCCTCCCACCCAAGATTTTTACATTTGTGCATTCGGGTGACCTTTAAACGTCAAGAAATGCAAAAAAATTTGGGAAATTTTGTGTATATATGAATGTTAGTGTGTGTAGAGAGCGCAATGTTCTCACCCATTTTGAAGGTTAATAACTCACGTATCTTTTTCTGAAATTTTCTGAAATTTTATATGAAGGCTTGGGTATTAGGGAGAAATGTTTCTAGAAATTTTCAAGAAAATCGGACAATTAATTCGGGAGATATGGCCCCACCATCTTAACATCTCCCAAACCAATCTGGACTTAAAGGTAATGGTAGCAATTATTAGGAATGAAAATAAACAAAGAATGCTAAAAAAGTCCAGCAATAACATTTCAAGACTTTATTTAATAAATTTTATATCTTAAAATATTCATCTGTTTAAATGATTATCGATTGTGAGAACACTTATCATAATAATTTCTTATTGAATTCACAATTATATAGGCCTACATCATACTATAACCTTCTTCAGTTAAAATGAGTTAATACCTGGGTTAAATTATGCACTAAAACTATTTGTTTTACTTTGAAACAAAGAAAAATTATTCAATATCCATCATCTTCTCCAATTGATAAATTTTATTGATGTTAAAAATCGAATATTTGTACAGTTTGACGCGATAACAATTCATATAAGTAACTAGAAGACAAACATAAACTTTAAAATCTTTAAATTTATTTATTTTTTCACATCTCAAGAACAGAAGATTACACAGCAAAATTGACTCTCCTCTGTTGTGTGATTTTCTTTCTGGTTTTTAAAAAAAATTATACTGAAGTTACTGAAGGTTATAGTAACTTTACAAACAAGCGAAGAAGAACCAGTAAAAATCATGGACTCTTTTGTATGATCTGCATTCTTATAGTAAAAGTTTGTGCTTGTTTTCTAGTTACGAATATATTTTCGTAAAGTTTAGACCCGAGTTTTACTGTTTACTGTGATATAAATTCATAAAAGTTATAAAAAAAATGAACGACTTTATATGGATAGTTGCTATTTGTTTTCTGCTTTGAATAATCGATACGTTTTGTTTCTTTGTTTTTTAATTGTAACCGAATTAATTTTTAATGTTACCGCAATACTATTAAAACATGTACCGTAACTTCTATTTTTTTCACAATGTAAATTTCAACTTAAAAACTCATATTATAATTAGATATAAAATTTTTCTAATAAATAATTATTTTCTTCAGGAGATTTCATACAAAAACTCCACGATAATGGATTCAAAACAGACATCAAATGCTTTCCAGAAGATCCTTATTCAACACATGTTAATATATTTTTTATGTTTCCACCCGAAGAAATGTATTTTTATATAAGTATTGATAATTCAACTGTCACCATTGTCGAAGATAAAGTGATAAAATTTGTGAGCTTTAATTAATATTTATTTATTCTTTTCTAGTTAATTAATTGCATTTAAACAGTTTAAAATTAATAATTATATTACTTTTATTTAGTGTCGGGCTGACGATGTCGATGATTGTGAAGCATACGGATATAATAGAAACTACAAGAGAACAACTTTAGAAGGAAAAACGTTACCTATATTAGCTCGTCAAGTACTTTATATTTATTTTTCTATTTGATTTAATATATAAACTATATGCAATGTTTTTTTTCTTCATACATCGTGCGGAAAAATCGAATAATTTCAATACGATTTCCGATCTTCGTTGGTATAACTTTTAGGAAACTCCTCGTCTATGTTGAGATTAGGATCTTGGGGTGGTCAGATGGTCACACTTTATCGCTTTTAGAAAATCAGTTCCTGACAGCTCTATAGTCTTGATATCAATCTATGTGATTTCTTTCTCCGGGAGTTAACTGAAAGAGTTGTATTAACAAAAGCTAGAAAACGCAATGAAAATTAAAGCTAAAATAAGGAGGTTGTGTCACACGTTATGTGACGATTTGTGTGGGGGTGAGTGAAATTATTAATGTTACTGCTCACCCTGAAGAAGTCGTATTAAACATGTAGTCCATCAATTAAAATCTCCATGCATTTGTGATTCACTTTACTTACTGTTTATATCACATTTTATCAAAAATAAATGTATTATAAAAACAAATGGTATGTCATTTTGTGTACCATTATATATATTCTTATTTTCTAAAAAATCGCGATAATAGATAGCAAAGAGGTAAATATTTTATGTCATGATTTATTCAACTAGATTTCCTTGATAAATTATCTAGTTTATATATCGAGTATCATTATTTAGATAATGTAAATAAAATAAGGAATTGTTTTTTTTTTCTAAAATATATGATACTCTATAATATCTATGTTGCTTTATAAGCAATATATTATCTTCAAATCTTTTTTATGCTTTCAGACTAAAAATCAACTAGAAGTTAAAATGTCAATGAACGGTTATGAACTGAATCCTGAAGTGTATTTATCAAAATTTACATTGTTGCTTGCAGAAGCTCTTAAGTGCAAGTAAGATCTAATATGAAATAAAATAATGTATAGGGAAAATACTATTTATTTTCTTAAAAATTAAAGTAAATTTTGAATTTTGTAGATTCGAAGTAGCAAGCACATCCTTCTTTACTGAGGTAAATTCCTTGTTATATGTTATAACTTTTTATTTACATTGTTTTTACGTTTAGAGTTATTTTTATAACATTTATAATGCAACTAGTATAAAGAAAAATAAATTCTGTAGCAACTCCTATAATTATTTAAAAATCTGATACAAGTACGGACGTCCTTATATTGTCAATACCGATACAGTATCGACAGTCCATCGATTTCTTATCCATCCATATCTCATGTACTGTACATACAGTAGTACCCAGAGAGCTCATTAACATGATTGCGGATCTGGGCTTCTTTTGTGTACATAAAACATAATGAGTGCAAACTGAAGTACTGACTGATGCGATGACTTCTGAATCGGATAGCCGACATTCAATTTCCTGGAGTAAGCGATAAAATATTAATTGCTGCTCTGGACCCGATTCAACCTTCATTGTTATACAGTAAAATATTTGTCTGCAATTGGAGTTCCGCGGCTTACAGTGTATAGTATCATTTGAAGAGTAGAGCAGATGGGAAAGAATGACGGCAAATGATCAAAAGAGGAGGAAAATGAATGAAAAGAACAGGAAGGAACTAATTGGAGGAAAAACACTTAGAAAAAGTTTGACGAAAGTTTAGAAAAGTGGGAAGAAAGTTTAACATTTCAGACGGGCATATTCGTGTTGATGTGAAGAAATGTCAAGTGATTTTCAAGAAGGGAATGTCTGCTCCTAAATACACGACGAAGGAACTTGTTATACAAAAACCCTTCCGTGGAAGCTGCGTGATAGTGTGTCGAACATCAAACACACTTGATGTGGTTATGGACAACGTGTCCTATTTCAGTTTCGACGGAAGTGAATAGGATGGTAACAATGACTGTTTACCAAAGAAGGGCTAGATGTGGATCCCGAAATCACGATACTTCAAGTTTTCGCCGAAGCTTCTGGTTTGGCTAATAATTAGTCCAAAGGGGTGTTCACAGACCATTACAGACCAATGAAGAGGGTTAAGACTAAAGTTTAAATTGCAATCTATCGGGGTCCTGATCATCTCATCTAAACGTTAAACAACCTGTTTTTTAAAAAAAACTTTATTTTAAAATAAATAATGAATTTTAAACAACTTTAATCGCTGTTCAAAAACCACTTCAACTTGATTAGTTGAAGACAGCGCTGGAACGGTGAAGGTCACTATCTAATGTTCGATTAAGAAATTAAATCTTTTGTAGGTATTTCACCGAATCATCTAGTTTAAATTTAAATTTATAAATGGTTTCTCGAACCCAGCATATTTGTATGTTTGTATAATTGGTATCCAATGCCAGTTACTTCTCACAAGATACTTATACATGGTCCAGAAATAATACAACACTTTTTGCTTCCAATTGGACAGAGGTCTCAAGAAGCACATAAAAAAGTTCGTCTAGAACACGCAAGAAAAGTGTCAAGAACACGTATCTCAAA